CTTATAGAAGACTGACCTTTTCTTCAAGTCACAGCTGTTATTAATTTCAGGCTTTTCTTGAAGGACTTGCATTTTCTGTCCAGTAACATTTTGGTTTTAGTTTGAATGGATACAAAAAAATCTGCGTAACTGAAGGAATCAATCTTAATTTCCTACAGCAATTCCATCATGGAAATTAGAGATTTACAGAATTGTTAGATGCTATTCTGGATCTAGCAGTTAGCCTTGCAGGCTATATTAAGAATAAAATAATGGAGCAGTGCCCGCATGTATAAAAGGCAATTTAGCACTTCAGCTCATCCCCTGTGTAATAAAATGCTACAATATATTTTACCTGTCAAGCTTTTGAGAGTGAAACAGTGTCACAATCTGCTATCCAATATCACGGTACACAAGTCCAGATAGTATTAACTCATCTTCAGCATGTCCTTGTGAGGAAGAATAATGGTATTCATGGTGCTCATTACATGAATTGTAAAATGCTCTACAGACAGCTGAACTGTCTATTTGCAAGAAAGGTATTATCACATCTTCAATCTGCAGTTCAGAAATGAAACGTGCATAGGGTTCTGTTGTGAACTTGGGGCTCCAGCCTATACCCCATTCCAAGAGCCATAATTACCTCTGGTAAGCTTTGGTTTACAGTCCACTGTAAGACTGTTGGCTCACCAGGCTGGGAAGATCAAGCAGAAAGCAGGGATTGGCATTTTGCCCCTTACAGGCTGCCTGGGCACAACCAGTTCAAGCCACACAACATGGTGAACAACATTTGTGCCTCAACATGATCTTTGGTAGAAAAAGATTCTATAGCTAAACCAGAATGGTGCATGGCACTCAGCAGTGTCTAACTTTTGGGTACCCAGTTCTGGAAATGCAATTCACAAATGTTTAAGAGCTCTGTATGCAGAAAGTGTAGGTTTTGAGAATGGAATTTAAAATTAACACAGAAGCGTGGGAAAGTTTCTTTAATCTCATCTATTATTTACCATTCAAAATATTTTCTAGCATTTTGGTTTCATATTATACCTTTATGTACCTTGCATGACTGATTAATGCTTTTCTTCTAAAATACAACCCCCAGAGGAGACAGTGATGTTGATACCAATGGAAAATGGGTTTGGTCTTGTGTTTAGCATAGTTTCCTGAGAAAGTGTCTCCTTGTCAAGAAGGGTTCAAATCTGCATCTCAAAACCAGATATTTCCCTGTGCCTCCCCATCCTGCCCTTTTGGTTATAGGTTATCATGTGTTATAGGTTATGCTGTGCCTAGTGCTAAATACAGTGCTCTCAGTGTGGGGCAGATATGCTCTGAGCAAGTGGGCTGCATCAGGCACATCAAGATTAAATATGAGATGAGAAGTGAGGCCAGCCATGAAAGCCACACTCGTGTATACATGCAGTTGCAGGGTATTATATGCTTGTACAATTTTACTGATGAAAATTTCAGCAGTTAGACATTCCTGAAATCATGCCTTTCCATTTCACATAAGTTATTAATTAGTTAGGTGACTAATTGCCTTCTGAGAGTTTGATCCAAAGATGTGATATACTGTATTTGAGGGGGGTGAAGGAATGAGTTCATGTCTACCACAGTGCACTCTAATAAAATCTTTACACTAAATCATTATCTTTTCCGTGATCAAGAAATAGGAGTCAGATGCTCTGGGTTCTGTTTCTGGAGTGGTTTCAGACCTGCTGCTATTATGTTGCATTTCCATGTTTTCAGGAAAGCTGAGTACTACTTTTCCCTCAAGGTAATTTTCCCTCAAGGTAAATATTTTAAACCTTAAAATATCTTTTTTTATTATTATTATTTTAAATGCTTTTTTTCCTGCATACGTTGGCTAGTTATTTAGAGCTTGAATGGTTATATTCAGGAGAGGTCATAGGTGAGAAGAGACAACAATTTTTGCATTTAGGAAATTACTGTCTGGAAAAGTTAATGCAGCAGAGAAAGTATTAATTGATGAAGAAGGTGTTTCAAGGAAGAAGCATGAGCAAAAACCTGGAGAAGAATTTCTATGGCTCCAGTCAGGAATTAGTCCTTCTCAGTGGTTCACCTACAGCACTGTCTGGAATACTGTATTCAATTCTGTGCACAGTGTAAACTGCGTCACACAGCGTCCAAGAACAACGTTCTGGAGGGGGTGATTTTTAGAGAGGTAAAATGTAAGACTGATCAGACTATATTTATAAGAAAAATAAAGGAAATAAGAACATTTTTGTTTTTCAGTGGCATGGAAATATAACTGGGAAACCAAGAAAGTAACTTTCTGGGATAATCTTCCCAATTAATGTGAGGTCTTAGCCCCATGAACAATTATGGTAAAAGTTAAAGACAATGTAATATGGTAACATCCTCCCACTACCAAAACAAAATATGAAACAGTAACCTCTGCTTCATTCTCAGCCACATTTCATGTTCAGAATGCTGGCATTTCAGACAATAGTCTGTTTTCTATTACAAAAGGAAGAAATAGAGGGAAATAGTAGTATTCACTTTCTCCTTCCTGATTGGGAAGTTCAACAATAAAAGGAGGAATTTGATGCTGGAATGGTTGTGTTTGAGATTCTCTTCCTCCCCAAATTAGTGGGGGGAAAAAAAAAAAAAAAAAAAAAAAGGGGACATTGCAAGCTGTAGTTCAGAAAGGCGACAACAAGAGAGAACTCTGATTTTCCATTACTTAATGACTTAATGTAACATAATGAAGTGCTGCATTTGGTTTTGTCAAAACTTCGATGGAAAAAAACCAAACAACTGAAGCTGCCTGTTTAGACTTACTGCCAGCTGGCTACAAGCAACACCTAATTCAAGTTTTTCAAAGACGTGAAGTAAGGAAATGCCACTCTTCACCCTTTGCAATTAAGTGTATGCAGATAAGAAAAGGACTGGGAGGGAAAGGAGGGCAATCCTCAGCAAAATTAAGCTGTTGCTTGTGACTTCTGGTTCTGACAACAGGAAGAAGCAGAAGTAACTCCATTCTGAAATCATCAAAACTGTTCCCCAGTTCTTTCTCTGCCTTCCCCCAGGGCAGCCATATAAGGCAGATAAAAGGGAGGGACCCTGCATTTCCTAGGGTGGGACTTGACAAGCTGTGGGCAGAGTCAGGCAGTCAGCAGCTCCTTTCCCTGCACCTATCCAGGGCATCTGCTGTAGGGAGCAATAAAGAGGAGTAGAAGGACACACAACAAGAGAAAGCAGGTACTGTTTGCCAGCTGGTTTCAGGTTTTCTATGTTTTATGCCTGGCTGTGTGGGATCTTCTGTTTTGATTAAGCAGGCTAGCAAATGTGTTTCAAGTAGCTTTGTTTGCAGCTGCTGGGTAGCCAGCCTTTGCTCCAAACACTTGCCTAGGTAGCCTCAGCACCCTAAAATGAGTGATAGGAAGGGAGTGTCCTTCTGATAGGTGTTTCTTCTGTTGTTGGTATAGGTTGGCTTGGATGGAGCTTTGTGTTTAATGTTTGGTCCCATCAGTTTTTCAGTGTTAAGAGAACTGATGAAGGAAGCAAAGTATTTGTCTATCTGCTGTAGGACTAATGTAGAAATGCATCAGTCTACCTTACTAGGACCAGTGTTAAGAAATAAGCATGTTGTAACAAATTCACTACTTTATGTAAGCATTTTGTGGAGTAACTTAGAGGGCTCTGTTCATGTGTACTACAATGGTAGTTTGTCTACTATGCATGAGGATCTTTAAGCAATGACAAAAACTAAGCTTAACTTAAAAAGAGGGAGTGAAGGCTGAATTTCTCTCTTTAAATTACTCTAGTCTGCTGATGCTAAAGTGACTCTAAAGGTGGATGTCAGTCCCTCCTGACAGAGGAGCAGTCAGCTGCAACTCCGAGACATGTGGGCATTGTATTGCAGATAACACAATACATTAAAATATGACATTACAGACATAATGTTGACATTAACATCATCAGTGCTTTGAAGTTAAAGTCACCTCTTTTGATACTTTTAATGTTCTCATATTTTCATAATATTTTCATCTTTTCATTTTAGCTAAGCATTTTAAATAAGGGAGTTTCTCATTACACTGTGTAAGCAATGAGGCAATATAAAGATGATACTCCAGAAAGACAGCTGCTCTCAGTGCCACAAAATGATTAATATTGCTGCTTGTATCTATGTGTTAGCAGTAATTTAAGACTGTATCATGAAATGTATATTGATCTATAAGAGCCTTAATTTCTATTCTCTTTTCTCTAGGTGCTTGCTTGATAGTAGGAAAGTTATCAGCAAACATTAAATGTCTTGAAGAAAATAAAAAATCAGGCCAGGGTCTTTGATATTTTCCCTTGTAACAATATTAACCTTTCAGTGACAGTTCTCATTAATAACACCTTCCTCTTTACACTTGAGAAAAAGTGTTCCTGGGTACTGTGGGCTGCAACATCGGATCCCATGAGGTGACTGAAATAATTTATTCAAGTCTTAAAATCTTACATGGACACTCTAGATAATATCTCGTGAGGTGCAGGTGTTGAAGTTCAAAACCTCAATCAGGTGTATTTCAGGCAACAGCAAGTTTATAAATTCCAGGAAACTTTCACAATTCCACCTTTAACCAGGACACATCAGGAACTGCTCAGCATAAAATAATGTCAGCACAAGTCCTCAAGACAACTCTGCTGCTGTACTAGTGTTATACTATTTAAATAGTTATAAGCTTCCTTCTTAACAAATGTAACTTTAAATCTTAATATTCTGTCTTCCTCCAGAATTCTTAACCTCTTTCTTTTCCCAGTCTCCTGTTACTTCTGGTTTCTAGCATGTGCCATTGTCTAATACATTTTTCTGATTTAATTTCAGAGGCTGTGAGTGACAGCAGGTGACAGGCTGACAGCTCACACTTCTGTCACAGAGAAGCTTTGTGATAACAGCAGAAAGTCATCTTACTAGCTACTGGAGAGCACTCTGGGCAGGGAGGACATACAATACCTTCTTTATGAGTTTTAAATGTTGATCAGGGTTAGTAATACCTGTGTGTCATTACAGAATGTCCTGTGATGGTGGAGGAACTGTTGGGCACCCAACATATAACCTCTGTGGACAGGCTGAAGGCTCCGCTTCCCAGCTTAGCAGTCTGAGTGGGAACAGGAAATCTGCAGCGTTGCTGGAAGTCAGGAGGAACCTAAGCAGTATGCAGTATTCTTCCGTGGCAGTGGATACAGAAACCCTGGTGAATAATGGATCTGGGATTCCCCGCAACCCTGTGGAAGGCACAAAGGCTGCAGTCTTGACCGAATGTGAAGCCCACAGACCCTGTATAGCAAAGTGTTTCCAGAGCCGTTATTTAACTAAAACTAGTACACAGGGAGATGTCTACAACTTCTTGGAGAGGCCAAGTGGATGGAAGTGTTTTATCTATCACTTTACTGTGTAAGTACCTACATTTTCACATAATCTTCGGTGTAAGAAAAATTTGAGACTGTCCACTTAATCAGTTAGAAATTATAGTACTTGAGCTCTCAGGCTGAAAACCTGTTACATGAGTAATCCCATTGAAAGCAATGGAAAAGCCAGTTTCTCAAAGGCTTAGCTGCTATATCCATTAACAATTTAGGAGGAATGCTTTTTATTCTTCACTTGGTAGTTGTCTTCAAAGATGGACACTGTAAATTTGATATTTCTGAGGTGAATTCCTATATATTCATGGCAGTTTTTATTGCTACCTTAGCTGCTTTATGTTGTTCTAGCTTCAGGCACTGCAGTTTTTAGCATGAGATGTGGAAGGTTCAGCTGTGATCAGTTACATCACATTATAAGTCCTTTTTGCTTGTGCTAAAGTACCAAAACAACTAATTTTTTGGACAAACATATAATAATGACATTACTAATTTTAATTAATTTACAGTTGTGAACACATAACAAGTAAAAAATTTAGCAAAATATTTTTCATTATACCATGTATGTGGTGCATGCAAGGAGGAAATGAGCTTCCATTTACCCTTGTAAAACAGTGGTTGATATATTAATACAGCTGTTACTGTTTTCTTTGAGCTGTTTATAGTATCTGTCAAGTTTAGCAAGACCTCATTTACTGTTTTGAATGCTGCTGAAGAGAATGATAATTTGTCATCTTAGCTGTAGAAAGGGTCCAACTGTGCTGTCACTGAGGCAAGAGGAAGTTTTACTGGCTATAGTGAATGCAAAGTGGGCCAAATGGCCTTGCTTTTATTGTAAAATTAGCATATGTCCTAAAGAAATGCAGTGTTGAAATTATTCTGTTTGTCTCAGATGAACTTTTCTATAGCCTGACTGCATTTTGAAAGAACCATTGTTGGTTATTGCAGTCAGGAACTGTCCAGAGAAGTATATGATAGTTATAAGAATGAATCGTAATGCTTCTATTTGGCATAAAATAGATGGTCTTATTAATAGTTGCTTCCTTTCACCCCTCAAAATTGCATATATATTTTTGTTTTAAAATGCTTTATGCTTATAGTGTATATAACAATTCCCAGGGCTTAAACAGATGTAATTTGTGTAGATTTAAAAATGTGAATAGTAGTTTAAGCTTATTTGAGGTTAGGACTTGTTACTCTTGCTAAAATGCATTTGTTTTATCACCTGTGTGGCTTTTATCCAAGACTAAGGTTGACTAGTATGTATTTATATTCTGCAATGGGCATTAAAATAAAATTAAAAAAAAGAAAACCTATTCCACACATACACCCCACTCATACTAGAAAACTGGAGAACATATTAATATTTATAGTAGAAAACTCTTTAAGAGTACAAGGATTCCTAACTTAAATGAGAGAATATGTAAATTGACCTCTTTTAAAAGCTTTTTCTTTGAGATTGCTTGAAATGAAGCTTTTTAAACATAGTTTTTGACCAGCATTTTGTCTTAAGTGTATTTTTTCCTAATAATTATCCCAATAACTACATGGTGTGTTCATTTATATAATAAGTTTCAGTGTTGGAAAGAACATACTATGCAAAATTAAATATCATTAAAGTTAAACATTGTTAAAGCAATAAAGCGCTAATCTAAAATACAATTAACTGTATAATGAGAACAACCTATAATTTATTTCTAAAAAGTTTCCCATATTATGCTGTGGTTTTTAGGGTAATTTATGTGCAGTTGATCTGATGATAACTATTTTCATAACTAATCAGCTGTTCCAAGTACATAGCTGAAATTTGCTTAGTCTGGAGGAGCTGGATGTGCAGCATCCCTTAATTGTCCTTTTGTCTTTCATATGCCACAGAGACTATATAATTCATGTACAAACTTATGGGAAGTTTCTGTCCAAGAGGGATTGGAGTCTGTTCTGATCTGGAGCCAGTTCTGCTGGAAAGAACCTAATTTTCCAGAACAGGCAAGGCAAGGGAACAGCAAGTGCTCCAGGAGGTGACCTTCCTCTTGCGTTCCGAAATTACCAAGATAATCTCATCTCCCATAATATTTGTAATATGTCTGATACTTCAAGTTTCTTTTAAAGGGGTAAACTCATGCTTCTTAAGGAACTTTGAAAGATGTGTTAGAAAAGGGAATTATTTTTGCCTAATTAAATCTAGAAATTGTGTTATTTTAGTGGAGTTATTCTAGGGTAAATTTACAGTTTCAAAGTAAAATGTTTGAAGGGGTGAGTGAGTTTGCTTGACAATTTCCCTTCCTGGTCCTGTCCTGAAAATCTTCTCTCTTAGGTCATTTTCAGCTTCACTGGAAGTACTATGAAATACTTAACTCCTGAAATCCCCAGGAACTGCGTAGAGGGTCTTGCTGACAAGTTAGAAAAAGTTGAGGGCTTGAGATACAGCTGTGATGTGCAATAGCAATACATTGATCCTAACCAACCAATTACTGTGGCCGTGTATGAGCCTTAAGGTATTGGATATCAATATATGTTAGAGTCCAGCTGTTTGCCATATGGTCCTCAGTCCAGAGAACAAAGCGTGTGCCTGGCTTGAATTTGATTTCTAAACTCACTTGCTTAAATCACTTCTAAATGTCAAGATGTTGGGGTATAACCCTCATATTTTATCTTTTGAATGAAAAGTAAAATATGTATTCGTGATGAGTTACGTATAGTAATGACGTTACTTGGCAAATCCACACATTTAAATCTTTTAACTGTAAGTGGAGCCTTATTCATGTGATAAATTTTTGTTTCTGAAACATATATACATTTAATTACAGCTGGAATGGCTCAATTATAGTCTAGAATATTGTGTTCATATGGCTAAAATATTGTGTTCACCTGGAGGTATTTAAAAGACATGTAGATGTGGTGCTCAGGGATGTGGTTTAGTGGTGGAATTGGCAGTGTTATATTTACCATTGGACTTGATGATCTTAAAGATCTCTTCCAACAAAAACAATTCTATGATGTGAACTGAGTGAGGAAGGGTGAAGCCAGACAGTTTTCCTGATAATAAGATTATTGACCTGTTGCAGTTGTTATCCCGCAACGTCCCGTCCGGTCGAGGAGGCACAGAGACAAACACACACCCCGTCTCTGGGCCAATGAGCACTGACACCAATATGAGGATGCTGCAAATGGCGTTTATTGATGTGCGACACAGTACTACATGGTGTGGGTTCACTACGTCACTTCCACCTGCTTACATCACAGGCTAAGTGCTATTGGCTACTATGAGAGAGAGGGGGGTGTCTTACCTTTCCGTACAGCCCGATATCTTCCGGCCGCCAGACCCTATCTTACTACATTGACCCCTGTTTAGACACCAGATACCAATGATCATAAACCAAAACCAGAATCCAACATAGGTCCTCAAGTGCTAGAATGTATTTGTAGTGGGGATTGTTACACTGATGAGTGTTTGCAGGCCACCTTGGCCATAGACAAAGGGTGGAGAAGATGGTCTGGCTTCTCAGCCATCTTTGTAGAGGCAAAGAACCAGAAGTTGGAAGGCAAAACTAAAGCCTATTGAAAGATAGAGGATCACTGTACACCGACTTGCACTTAGACACTGAAGTGGTGACTGGTAATAAAACAGTATGGTTTCTCTTGTGTTCAGGGAGAGGAGGTAACTGCTTACTGCCACATTATTTTGTTCTGTGGGTGATAGAGGCCACCTTGTGTCAGCCTAAGGCTATGTATACATCACAGAGCAGCCCTGTGCTGCACTGCTGCTCCAGCTTAGGTCCCAGGAAACTAACTGAGTCTGCACAGGTTTGCACTAAGGTTAACTGGCCTTGTATCTCTGCAAGCAAGATGGATCCATAGTACCTTTTCCCCTCAGATACACCCTGTTGTTTTTACTCACTGCAGCCCAGCTGCCTTGTTCTATCTTCTTAGTTTCTATAGAAAATCTAGTGACTTCTAATTTTCATTGTTTTGGCTGCTGGGTAGCTGATTTTTTTCATTAAGATCCAGAAGCTTAGAGGGATACAGAACAAATGAGTATACTGAGACTGGTGAAGCAGGAACAGAGGAAAACCTGGGACTGAGAGATAAAATGCTTGACTGAGTTGTCAGAGAAACTGAGACTGGTTCCAGTAATGCCGAAACTGGAGAAAAAGCAATAGAAGAGCAGGCTAGCTTGAGAACAAGAGAAGCAGACTTAAACAGGACGGACAAAGTAAAAAGGACTAGCAGCTTTTGGAGATCGGAAGGCTGGATAGGCACAAAGAGCTGGAACAGTGGGACAGCTGAACGTGGTCAAGAAGCTCAGAGAACCACCGGGAGGAAGAAGGGGTAGGAGATGACAGCTGGAAGCTAGGGGAAAGAGGAAGCATGGAATTCATGACGGGAGAAGAAACCTTTCACCCGTAGGCAACTGGTTTGAATCTCGTCCAAGTCAATAGTGAAGAAGAAGTAATGACTGTGGGGAGATACAAAAGGAGCTGTTGGTCTCAGTCCAGTTCTTAACGAACGGATGTCAGCATCACTGCTGAAGTTAGCACAGCTGGAAGGCTTGCTGGCAGTCAGTAGAGAAACCACAGGCTGGTTGAAAAGGGAGGCAAGTCTAAGGCAAGAGGGAGGCCCATGAGAGGGACTCTTAAATTGTGTTCTCAGGCCTGCCACTTTCTTGTCGCGTAACACTGGGAAAGTTTAAGTGAGAACTTACAGCTGTTCCAGGTTACTTTGTGCTGCTTTGGCCACGTGTTAAATGAGCATTCAACCTTGTTGTCATTTAAAAGTTAGACCAATCTTTCTATGCCATAACTTCTCATGGGAATGGGGTGAGCTGATCTAACAGCCCATTGTTCTCCTCTCATCTGCCTTAGTTGTTCATCTTGCTCCTGCCAGCTCTAGTTGTCCTTGGATCACTGAGCCAGTTCAACTCACTATGCCAGCAGAAACCTAGCCCAGCAGGAAAAAGTGAAAAGTCTTCTGTCAAGTTAGTAACACACTCTGAGCATCTAGAAGTACTGTCCACTATTGGTTTTTTTAGTGCTC